TGGAAGATGTCCCGTGTGCGATGGCAGTATTCCAAGAGCGCAAGATACGACGTGCGGGCTTCGGCGTAGAAGTGAAGGTGCGACGAATTAAAGTTGTAACGCCCCCTCCTGTCCCGTATAAAAGCGAAGACACAACTTTTGGCGCGGGACCAACGTGAACTCAATGAACGCAGCCTATAAAACGGACGGCAATACTCAGGAACCTCTTTCATGATCCCATGGCTCACGGCGCACCTTGTGAGAGACCGCAATGCATCCTCATCAAAAAACAACGAGGATACGCCGTCAAAAACAATGGCAGCGTTCTTGCGACAGAGAATACCCGCAGAACTGTACACGGAGGTAATGCGCATACTGAGATGATCAATTTCCACAATCTTTTGCGGTTGCTCCTTAGCAGCATTTGCACACACGGCAACCCCACTGAAGGCGATAACGATAACCTTCATAAGCTCAGCACCGGCCTCCAATGTAGGCTCAATTTTCACCATGATCCCGCTCACCGTAATCTCAAAGCCCACGTCAGAATGTGAATCGCACGGCCACACAACACAGGGGTTCTTCAACTGCACGTGAATGGGTCGATTCATGACCCACGACACAGAACGACTGGCGGCATTGAAAAGAAACGAAAAAAAACCTTTTCCATTCTGTGGAAGGGATGCCAAATCCTCTTGAGAATCGCAAGATGCAAATGAAGTGTTACTGACACTCTGACACGACATGTAATCATCATCCTCCAGGCCGCGGAATCGTGCAATGTTCATCCCTCTTTTTCCACATTGGAGGCCTCCCCAACAGAACTAATGCAGCAGGCACATGTGCAGCACAATATCTTTCACTATCCCGCGTTCTACCTTAATTCCCATGACTGCCACGGCGGCGGTGCCTGCGTTACATCTGGGATGACTCCAAAATGCCAGGCGCCATGCTGTAGAGAGTGGATGCTTGACAAACGTGCCCGCGTTAGTGCCTAACACAAAACGACGTCAAGTAGGAAAACTATCCGCAACTCAAACTACCCGTGTGTGGCCGCAACAAAACAAACACTGAGAAATGTGCGGAGCAACGTAAAGAAAAAAAAAGAGAATAATCTTCTGGGCCGCTGGACGGATCCTGAAATTATCCAAAGAAACCAAACACGACAGGAAGGAAACAGAAGGTAAAGCAAGGGCAGTTCATTGCCTCAATGTTGTTTTCTGATTATATATATATATATTCTTTTGACCCCTCACTTGGACTTTTGCACTCAGATAGGATCTGAAATATTATTTCTTACGACGTGGCGGACATTGGACTCCTCCAACCACAGGACCCCGCCGCGAGGTAGGAAACAAAAAGGGGACGGGTAGAATGGAGAAATAGAAAAATATCTGGCACCTATCGGTTCCATGCCCCAATAAATTCGTGTTCTCCCCAAGAATTCATAAGATAGGAAAAGTATCATAAAGGAGTGCATTCGTTTATCAGGATATGTATATATATATATATATACTAATTTCGCCAGCTCTCACGCGATCATTCTCTTCACAAGTTACTAGAAAAAGAGAGAAATGGTACAATAGCCCACAAGAATACATCGATATACAAGCAAAGTAATACGTCATTCCGCATAATTCTTCGTTCCTTCTCTTGTTGTTCGCTCTACACAAAATCAGAAGTATAAAAAGTGACAGGCATGCCCTCCCACACAGTCATCGTGCAACAGGAGGGAGAGTCACTGCAGGCGCCCGCACAAACAAATAGAAACAAACCAACAATCAATGACGAGGTCAGGGCGGAGTCCGATGGGTGGCCGCGCAGCTGCACAGCCGTGGCACCCCACGCCCTTCCTCATGTCAGCCAGCAACGCACACTCACAACCTCCAGAAATTGACGCGTCACAGAAGGGCCTCATCGATTGTTTTCTCTAACGTTTTCCTGAATGCATCCTATGGCCCGCACACCAGCCACCACCGTCAAGCACGTCCTCACTACTAAGTACAGATATGAAATAGAGAGAGCAGCAGCCCCCATACTCGGTGCTGCAGCGGCGGGCGCAAAACACACGCACACACCCGTTACGCATCCGCCCCGGGCTAGCGTGATAAGCTCGATAATCCGTTGTCGTCGATAATCGATAAAATAAAATAAAAGCAACGAAGCAATCACCCAATCAATCTATGAATAATGGAAAGAAAAAAGATACTCTCCAGAAGCGTCTACGTCATGCCGCATTTGCGAGGGGCTTTGTGCCTTCTCGCCGCGTACCGGTACTGTTGGGGTCGGAGCCTTTCCACTTCAAAAAAAAAGAAAAAACTGCGCTACATTTTTCTTCAAGCAGAGCATCTTCACCTGTCCAGGAGGACGTGATCAATTATTCAGCTCGCAATGGATGCACCGTCGAACAAGCTCAGAGCGTCTGAGCGGATGTCACCGGTCACAGACTGCAACGGCGGTGCGGGTGGTCGGTACGACGACGCAGTGGTGGTGCCTGATGCGTATGAAGATGACGTCATGTCGTGGAGCTTCTGCGTCTCCTCGTCGCTCTCCTCGTCATCGCGCAGCAGCGCCTCCAGCCCTCCACGCCGCGGCTCGCGCAGCTCCTGCCAGTAGCGGTCCTCCGCGTACCACACAACGACGCTGTACACAGCGACCGCAAGCAGCACAGTCGTCAGCAGCAGCACGATATCCGCGTAAGCCCTCGCACCGCCGTCGCTCGGCGCAAGGTGGTTGGCCGCGCTGATCACGCACAGCGCCGCAAGGAGTGCAAAGCCCGCCGTGCGCATCACCGTCAGGAAGGCCGAGCGCATCATGTTCGTGAAGGCAACCACGCCCGCACCCGCAAGCAGCACAGCCGCCATGCAGAAGTACTGGACGTGGCAGCCTCCCACGGGCGAGTGCACAGCCGCAATCAGGCACACCACACACAACACCGACAGCTGGAACACGCACCAGTACACGCGGCTGTCCCTCATGTTCGTCAGCATGCCGCCGTACATCCGCTGCTGCGCCGCGGGGTGCCAATACCCGACGGGGTACAGCAGGCGCTCGTGCAGCGGCTTCCTCGAAAACTGCCAGTACCTCTCGAAGCTCGCGCCCACGTGGCGGGCAATCAAGTAGCACACGCCAGCAGGGAACGCCGCACCGTACAGCACGCCGACGACACCAACCACGCGGTGTTGCACGCGGGCGCCGGGCATCGCCAGTGCGAGCACGGAGCCGAAGAATATGCCGAGATGCATCGCGTGCGCCACAACGTACGTCAGGCTCGGGAAGCGCATCGCCGCCCACGCAGTCGCCGCGTCCACGCCGCGCCACCGCTGGAAGGCGGCCGTCACACCGCAGTGCACGCACCCGAACACAGCGGCGAGCAGCGCGTTGCCCACCACCATCCACAGCGGGTCAAGGGCAGCGAACACCGACAGGAAGTACGGCAGCGCAACGGTGCTCGCACGCTCCTGCGCCGAGGCGCATGGCATCCTCGCGAACACGCCGAGCGCCTGCATCTCCAGAATGGAGCCCAGCCCGCCGGTCACCAACACGGCAACAGCCGCCGCACCCGCAACAACGCCGGTGATCGCCGAGAGGGCGCTGGCTGCGGGCAGCGTGTCAGACCTGATCGTGAAGGACCCAAGCAGCACACCCCTGCAGCCGCCGAAAACCGCCACAGCGTCGCAGCGAATGACTATCGTCTCGTCGGCAGCAATGAAGTAACCGCGGTGCACGGGCACAGCGAGCTCCAGGACGGTGGACGGATTCGTCGCGTTGCGCACCCACGTCGCGTTGCGCAGCATCGCCCCCCACGGACCGCCAAAGCCGCGCGGCTGCGCGGTCGCCACCGGCACGAAGCTCAGGTGCGTGCCGAGCTGCGGGTCGCGTGCCCATTGAAACGGCGGCGGCAGCGCCACCATCAGCCGCGTCGGGACGGCGCTCCCACCGCCGCGGATGTCGTTCTGCGTCAGGCTCCCACCAGCCGCCGTCGTCGTCACGGCAAGCGTCGGGCACGCCACGTCGCTCCACCACAGCGTGCTGCTCACCGACGCCGTCGGGGTCCGCGTGGGCGACAGCGCCACCGTCTCCGTCACCCGCGGGGTCTCCGTCTGACTGTACTGCGTCGGACTGTAGTGCGTCGTGCTCAGGCTCGGTGTTGGTGTCGGCGTCGGGCTGCGCGTCTCCGTCAGCGTCGCCGTGTGGCTCAGCGGCGGCCTAAAGAGTGTGCGGTTGCACCCGTCCACGTGCGGCAGGTACACCGGCAGGCAATCGCGCCCGTACCCGCCCTCAGCACAGCGGCAGCGACACGACGCAGACATCGCCCTCGTCGCAGCAGCAAAGCAGAACACGTCGGCGTCGCACACGCCACACGCCACGGGGCGGAATTCCCCGATGATGCCGGCGGACCTGTAGTCCATCGGCTGCAGCGCCTGCCCGTTGAGCGTCAGGCACCCCACAACGAACCTTCCGCCGGCACCCCCGAGCGCAACGGTGCCGTCCATCACGACGGGCCCACTGCCGGCGTTCCCGTGGAGCGTCAGCGTGCTCTGCACAAGATCCGCACGGCGCGGGTACGACGGCACAGACAGAAGCCTGCCGCTAATGCTGTTGCCCCGCACCGACAGCCACGACCCGGACGCAAACGACGCCGACCCCCGTAGCACCAACAGTGCGCCATCCGTCAGCGCACCGACGTTGTCATTCACTACAACGGCGGACGCGTTGGCCTCCACACCGCTGCCAAACACCAATCCATGCGCGGCGTACACCTGGCTCCCCGACACGCGCAGCACAGCGCCCCCCGACGCAACCACGCGCGCACTCGCGTACAACGCATATTCGCCACCGAACACAGCCGAGTCCAGCGCGACACCGCCACCGACGAGCTCCAGCACAGCGCC